CACACACACACACTCCCTCATGTTCACATCCTCATACACTCACACACACACACTCCCATGTTCACATCCTCACACACTCACACACACTCCCTCATGTTCACATCCTCACACACTCACACACACACACCCAATGCTCACATCCTCACACACTCACACACACTCCCTCATGTTCACATCCTCATACACTCACACACACACACACTCCCTTATGTTCACATCCTCATACACTCACACACACTCCCCCATGCTCACATCCTCACACACTCACATATGCACACATATGCCCATATTCACCCATGCACACTTACATACTTATACACACTCCCATACACACATACTCACAAATATTTGCGTACCCACTCACATATACTTATGTACACATATATATTCATGTACACACTCATACACACACATTCATGTACTCAAACACATACATTCATGCACATATACTCATACATTCATATACACATTCACACACACACGTTCAAATATACACACGTATACAAACACACACTAACACACACATTGATTGCATACTCAGAAACGCACACTCTGCCCCGTTGAAGGGCACTGTTAAGGTGTCCAAGCACGTCCCCCGGGCCCTGGCCTACTCTGGCCTTTCAGACTGGGGACCACCTGCTTGGTTGGCTGGTGACACTTCCTTGGCAGGGATGCTCACTTGTGTTCACTGTTCTGCTGTGGACAGAGAGGTGTAGTTAGTCTGCCCTGGACCCAGGCCGCCAGCACCCTGAGGAGAGGCAGGAGCAGACTGGGAACTGAAGGAGTCCCTTGATGTGGCCAGGGGGAGGCTGTACTCTCTTCTTCCTCTCTGCCTGACTCTCCTTCCTCCAAGCACACTTCCAAGAAGTGGCCTCTTTGTCCCTGTTTGGCTGGAAGCTGGCCCCGTCTTGGGCCCAACAGCATTATGAGGCAGCATGGTGCTGCATTGCTGCAGAGTCCCGAGGACACAGCCCTGGCGTGCAGGAACCAGCAGCCCTGAATTTCACATGGCTGAACATCACCTGGGTGGTCAGGGGCTCCATGCCATCCACAGGCCACAAGAGACCCTGGTCCTGCCCAAGGCTGCTTGGCACTTCTAAGGAGGCCAGAATGGGGTGGGTTTCGTTCATCCTAGATTTTTGAGGGACCCAGGTACTGTGCTGTTCGGTTCTGACTTTCATATGGAGGGAAGAAGCTGGAATCAGGCCTGACAGCCTTTGCTGCTGGTTCTAACTTGGGGTATCCCATGGGAGGTTGGCTGAGGGAACAGGGATGTAACACCTTGCAGGCTGGGAGGTTGCCAGTCCCTGAGGGGTGGAAGCTGTGCCGGAAGCCGCTTTTTTTGTCCCTCACACTCTGCGGATGAATTCTGTAGCTGAGCAGATGGGGGCGACAGGGAGTGTTAGGTGTGCTTTAAAAGGAGGGGGCACAGAGATTAAATCGATCTCATTTGGTGGTGGAGCCAGTTTGCTGTTTCAGAAAGGAGTGGAGAAAGTTGGGACAGGAAGCTCCTAGGGCCGCGTTTGATGTATCAGTCAGGATTGAGCAAGTTCAAATCCCTGCTTGGTAGCTGTTATTTACAACAGCTAACATCTATCGATTTGTTTTCCACTGCAGACTTTCTGCTATATAATCTTATTTAAGCCTTGCAAAATCACACAGACTAGTGCTATTTTTATTCGCATCTGACTCAGGTTTACTGAGGTTCTCAGAAAGAAAGTAGCTCACCCAAGACTGCAGAGCCAGCGAGGATAAACCGCGTCTCCAACAAGGCAGGACGGATCCCTGCCAAGTCCCTGCTCTTAACTGCTGCTTTACAGAGCCCTTTCACATCTTTACTATCTGTCTGGCCTTGGGGAAGCTGCCTAACTTCTCTCCTCTGTAGAATTTCACATCTGGGAAATGGAGAGGCGGTTCTCCTAGAGGTGTCTCCTGAATGTTCTCATTGCCTTGAGCCGATTTGATTCTAAGTTCCAGGTGACCCTCCATCTGGTTTCTAAGACGGTAAATTTCACAGAAGGACACTCCTCACTTTTCCTCCTCAGCGTAGCTGGTGGGTTGGAGCCTTTGGAGACGTAGAGTCTTTTGGTGAGCAGTGTTGCAGACTGAGGGTAAAGTATTTTTGTAATCCTTAGTAATGAGACAGACTACCAAGAATGAGATAGAAACGAGAGCATAAAAAACAGGGGGCCGGCAGTTCTGAAGGCCTCAAGCCATGCCTCTCTATTGTTTATGCTTATCTCAGGGAGAGATTCGGTAAATACAAACTAAGAACTCTGAAGGAATGCCTTAGTGTCTTAGGGTGGACTCTAGCGTGTACTATGCCTCCCTCATATCCTGATACAGCATTTGGTTTATATTTGATATCCGGCTTCCTACAGAGCGGTGAAACTCTCTGTGGACTATGCCAAAGTCCTTGTGAGGAATAAATGAGTTAATATTTGTAAAAGCTTTAAGCGCAGTATTTGGTCTATATTAGTAGCATTTTTTTTTCATCTCTAAATGAATATATGCCAGGTAACATTCTGGGAGAACAAGCTAGACAGGATTTAACTTCAGCAAAAGGAGAAGACAAGTAAGATCCACATGTAGATAGTAAGTAAGCGGCTTCTTATGATCTGATTCTTGTCCATGGTGACCTTGTAGGCAACCAGATGAAAAGCTGTCCAGTCCTGCCGCATCATCAGGACTGCCAGCATGTTCGAGTCCACTGTTTTGGGTTTTATGCGAATCCCTCTCTCTGAGGTCTTCATCACCCTCTCTGGCTCTCTACTTCCTCAAACGTGACATCAGCCTCAACAGCAAACATGATGCTCATCCCTTCTGCTGATGGGTTCAAAGCAAGCGCCTTGAACAGGGTTATGTTGTGATCCGTAAGGTTGGTTCAGGCCCATTTGGGAGCACAATGGCTGTGACAATGGCCTTAAGATTGTGAGGATGACAAAGGGCCAGGCAGTGTTTTGTTCTGTTGCACACGAGAAACTGACTCAAGGACACCTAAAAACGAGAGCTATTTTCAGGAACAGATCATGAGACATTTTTTTTCCTTAGTCTGGGAACTCAGCTAAATATGTTCATCCTGGACAACCTTGCTGGTATTTGAAATAGTTGTAGCACAGCCGTCAGTATCACAGTAACACACAAGCCACCCTAGGACAGCCACAGGCAGATGGGTTTAAGTCTTCTTACGGATGCCTTGGAAGAAAGACCTGGCATTCTTATTGCTGAAGGGTCAACTCTTGAAAGCCCTGTGGAGCCTTGTTTAACTCTGACAAACATGAGGTCAGCAGGAGATTGGAGGTGACAGTCACTGATCTTTTGGTTTTTTGATGTGATCTAATTTATTTCTTTAAAAGCTGACTTTGGTTGCAATGCGTACTACTCTTAGACTTCACATTCAGAAACAGTTGAGTTTGAATCGCTGTCTTGTCATTTAGAAGCTGGACAAGTTACTCATTCAACTCTCTGATGAGCTGTTTTCACAGCTGTCCAATGTCTGCATCACTTCCTCCTCCAAGCTGTTGTGTGGTTTGAATGTATTAGCCAGCCTATGGCTATTGCCTAATGTGATGCCAAATACTTGAGAAATAGTATGAATATCTTTCTTCCTTTCCCTGCCTCACCCTATTCTCAGGGATGTGAAATGACTCAAAGGCTTTCTAAGAACTTCTCCTACGTCTTCTCTGTTGGCTCCAATCTCCATGTCTCAATCTTGTCTTCTCCTCCCAGGATGTGGCCAGGTTCTGCAAGCCCCAAGGGGTCAGATTTTGTTGGAGAGCTACCCCCTCAATGCTCACTGCGAATGGACCATTCATGCCAAGCCTGGGTTTAACATCCAACTAAGGTAAGGGGCTGAGTTCAGAAAAGTGGAATCTGAGGACAGAAGAAAGCAAAGTAATGGGATTGAGGGACTTGGATCCTAGTGACTGAGGGCTAACCAGCAGAACTTTATAAGCTTTTCCAGGATACTGAGCTCGATCTGTTCCTGTCTTTAAGTGGGATTTGCAGTTGAGTCAGAAATGATACACTTACCATAGGGCAAGAAAAGACTTGAAGGTTTGTCAGTGGTTTGAAAACTGCACATGCAGCAAGTAAAGGGGATTAGTTGGAAAAATTTGTTGCAAGTAGGGGTGTGGGGAGTAAAACGGTTTCCTAATGAGGGCAAATCTACCTAACATTTAAGAACAATCAACATAATTGATTTATGTCCATAAATCAGACATGTGAAACCTGGATGTTGCCTGTTTTTATGTGCTGAAGATTTGGAAATGACTCAAAGCTGACCCTCCAGTGGCTTTTCGCAGGCTGCCAATCTCGTGGGAGGGCATTGTCCAGATTTCTCCTGAAGAGCAGCTGGGTGGTTGTGAACCTCCCTATCTTTGGTCTGGTGGCTCAACTTCTAGACTACCAGAGCTTCCCTGAGTATTACCTATAATCTCAAAAGCAGAAAAGTGTCAGGGATCACTTGTCTTTATTCTTCAGCGACACCTATATAGAAGCCCTGGTCAAATCTGCTTATAGACCATTTAGTGGAGTGATAGGATATTGAGGGAATCATAATTAATGTTAAAAACCAAGATGTAGATGAAGGGTTAAATAGAAAACCAATTTACTTTGTGTTAACTCAAGTTACAATAAAATAAGAAAGCCCCAACAAACCCAAAACAACCAACAACAAACAAATAAGATAAATGCTTATAATTCACTACCCTAGAAGCCTTACATATTTTTGATCCAAGGATAATTCCAACAAAGCAAAATACTGAAAGCAGTCTTAAAAGACTCAAATGGACTCATACCTGGCCCACCATTGAAATGTAAGGCTGTAAATTATGTGGGAGGAGATTGCCCATCTTTCTGCCTGGGAGTCACTGGTGGATTGGAACAGCCAGGAGGCACAGTCCTTGGATTAGCAGTGCAGCTCCCTACAGATTACACGAGGAGAGCTCTCAGAGAGCAGTCTACCCATCCACAAACACCTAATAGGCCTTCCTATGCACTGCAGTAGACAGGGATCCATGGGAGGTATGTGAAGAAATACGAGATATAAATGCAGCCTTTAAAGAATTTGTATTCCAAATTGGGGGTTATGTGTGTCATACAGTTCTTTTAATTGCTGCTTTCAGAAAACTGCTTCCACTCTCACAATAAATAAACCAGTTCTGTCACTTGTATAGGAAAGAAATAATTTCTAATGGTGTTTTAGAATCCTCAGAAGTTTACATTATACTTTGGTCCAAATGATATACTGTGTTCCAGTGCAAATACTGATAAGTCCTCAAGAGGACTTGTCATGGCTCCATCCTTCAAGTTTACATTATACTTTGGTCCAAATGATATACTGTGTTCCAGTGCAAATACTGATAAGTCCTCAAGAGGACTTGTCATGGCTCCATCCTTCATGTTTGGAAGAACAGAAGACACACCATTGTTCTTGTTGTAGCTGTGGTTAGTTAAGGCAGAAACACACCCATGTTTATTGCCGCATTATTCACAGTGACAAAGAGATGGAAGCAACCCAAGAGCCCATCAACAAATGAATGGATAGAAAAACTATGTACATTCACACAATAGAATACTATGCAGCATTGAACAACAATGAAATAGTAAAACATTACACAACATGGCGGAACCTTGAGGATATACATGAAATATCTCAGTCACAAAAGGACAAATACTGCATAACACTGCTGTTATAAAATAGGACAGACAGGAAGGGGGTTAGAGGGAGAACAGGGAAAGTGGATAGATAATCAACACTGCATTAGAACACGTAAGGGGAAGAACTGTCTGAAAGGAATGCATGATTATACGTTATATGTATGAAAACGATCTGGAACAAGATTGCAGGGTGGTCTGGGGGAGGGGTAAGGAAGGGAAGGAGAAGAAGATGTGCAACATTGAGTAAAAAAAGGAAAAAAGAATATTTAGTGCAAACTTACACTTGTAAACAGAAACATGCAAGTTTTGTAAAAAGCACCTAAAATGTGCATGCTGATTTGAAGCCCTCCCTATTACAGAACTGGCTTTCAGGTCCTGGTTGTGCTGTCAACCAAAAGTTTGGCAAAATTCACCAGTTACCCTGAACTAGAAAGACAAGAAAAGTCCTTCCATGAAAAATTACAAGGGCTTTGGGAAACCAATAGAGGGTTGGCATGAGTCAGAATGAATACTACAAGGGCAAGCAAGTTTGTTTTGGTCTTATCACAAAGAAACATCCAAGATATAACTTCATATAGAAAAAATTTGAGAAAACAGAATGTGTTTTAAGATGTGTGTGTACAAGGGGTAAAGAAAATAGGGAAGATATGACGGGGACCTGAAAAGGCAGGGTAATAGTGGGCATAATTCAATGGGATTAAATTTATAGGAGACAATGTATGTGAATCATTGTATGAAAGACAGTGTGAATGAAAGAAAGTGTGAAACAAATGTGTACCAATTTTATTTGCAAAGCAATATAAAATTACTTTTTTTTAAAAAAAAAAAAAAGGCTGAGTTGCCTGGGACTCTTGTGTCTTCATGGATAAGGTAGAAGGTTGCTCACCTTTCTCCTTCAGAGCAGCTGGTGGATTCGCACTGAGTCTCTTTAGATTAACTGCAACACTCCTTGCTGTGGTGAACAAAACCTTGTCTGGTTCTGTCTGTCTTCATGATCCTTGTTACGTTTGGAACTTATTGTTGAAGCTATTGTCTCAACCCTTCTCTTTAGTAGATTGCCTTGTTTTCATGGACTCTCTCCCTTACCAAAAGTGTTGTCTTCCCTAGACGCTCAATAAAGTCTTATATGAATAAATGTTAAAAAGATATGTATCTCCAGTGTAGCTCCTCTCTCCTGAAAGATACCTCTTCTTTTTCCCCTCTAGGAAAGTAGAACTTCCCGCTGACGCTTGAGTTTTGTAGGAATATTGCCAACTTCCCTTTCTAATAATCAGTGGAGAGGGAGAACGTGGTAATGATGGATTTCCCTACTCCTCTAACGCGTGCTGTAGTTGCTGTGTGCCGTCAAGTCGACAACAACTCAACAACTCTATGGGCAATAGCCCTGAACTTTGCCCTACCCTGAGCCAACCTCTCCACCTCTGACACCAGTCCTCATTGCCAGTCACTGAGAAAGGATAGGTTTTAAATAGCTATTTCCTGGATAGATCAATATACTCGTTGATTGCCACAAATCCGGTGGCTCCTTAACTTGCACACTGTCCTCAGGAAGACAGTTGCTTGCATTGACTGTATCTACTAAACAAGTCCACTCCAGTCACCCTAACTGGGGCTCATAGCTGCCTCCCCCACTCCGTGGCACCTGCTAATTCAATGACTGAATGAATTCAGTCATTTAGTTGTCATTGTGGATGAATCGGAATCAACTGATAGCTGAACATCCAGTGGGTTTTTAGGGTCTATAAATTGCACAGGAAGAGATTGTCTATCTTTCCCCCCTAGAGCTCCTGGTGGATTCAAACCACTGGAGAGGCATAGTCTTTGAGCTAACAGCACAGCTCTCAATGGCCTACACCACCAGAGCTCCTGGGGTTGGGAATGAAACACAATAATTGGATTGTTCCAAGAGGAAGCTTCATACAAACAGCAAAAGAGAGGCTTGAGGCTGGATCTTTTAGGAATGATAAATGATGTGTTAAACACTGCATTTTAATATTGCAGCAGCTCAGGGACCTGGCTAACTGGCTCCCTCAAGTCTTTTGACAGATACTCCAGGTTCTAGGATGCAAGTCTTTGTATGTAAAATTTAACAGAACAGCAAGCAACAAATGCTGGCGAGGTTGTGGAGAGACTGGAACCCTTATTCACTGTTGGTGGGAGTGTAAAATGGTGCAACCACT